TGTGTGCTGTGTGCTGGGTGCTGTGTGCTGTGTGTTGTGTGTTGTGTGTTGCGTGTTGCGTGTTGTGGGTTGATAGTGCATGTGGAGTGAAAGACCTTTTTGCAAGATGTGAGTTAAAACTGCTTCCTGCAGGACTTTAAGCTTCGCACGTTCTTATTTATGAATCTTTGTTTTGTTAAGGTTGAGCGATTTTCTATTCACTGCTGCTCGATATTCAGCAAAATGTGAAGGTAAAACAGAAGCAATATATCACAGAGTACAGCCCGACTGATTGGTATCCTTATGGCAACAGTTTGAGTGGCGTGATGGGACCTACAAACATTTAATAGCAGGGTGAATTACAAGCAAATATATTCTGGTGCGTCGAACAGAGGGTTATCAAGACGCAAAGAAAATATGTCGTAAACATTGAAGGTGCATGCACATCATGCCCCCCCCCCCCCCCCAAAAAAAAAAACGTTTTATCTGTGCAAGAAATTATAGGGCCACATTGTACAAGAATTCACTACCTCCTCTAGGTCTACCAATATYGTTTATTAAACACTTATACCCAAGGAGATATCCCATAAGGTTTTCATGATCGCTGTTCAATTGTGTACGACATTCAATTGAATTTATTAATAATGTTGAATAATTTTCGTTAAAATCCGAATACTTTTCATTGAGTCCAACATCCAGTTGGTCTGGTTTTCTATTGTGTGCTAAAGAAATTGGCAAAGGCTGAATTTCAAATGCAAAGCTGTTTCCGGCTATTCTCCTTACACTGTTAATCATTTTCCACTTTAAATCAGCGTCAATTGCTTCTTAAAAGTATTTTGCGATTTTTCTATTTCCGCCTCTGACTCGGGAGAATATATTATTTTAACACATTATTGTTCAACATCGTTCAGGTGTCATTAATAACGTTGTATGTCAACTTTGATGGGGTCTAAAAGGAAGCAGCCCACGTACCATCTCTGACCTATTGGGGTTTATTTTACTTCCGGTTGTAAGGAAATTTAACGGAAATGGAAGTGGCGTCTCGTGGAGAACGGAAATGAGTGCGGGCTGGTTGGAAACGTGATAAATGTTTGGTAAATTGAAATGATGTACCTGATGGATTTGAAAATCATTCATAAACTGACCTTGACTTTAAGTATTGATTAAATACTGCAGACCCAAGTGTTTTGGCAAAAGGAAATTAAAAAATTCTAAGGTTATATTTTCTTTTCGATTGATCTAGCTAGACCGCCCTTTTACATTCCACCAAGAGAGCTCTCTTGTTTCCACGTTGCCCTAGGCTTCTGACGAGTCCTCTCTCTCTCTTCTTGATCTATTCCGTAACGTAACGTAATTTTTAGAAAATTATGATAGTGGTACGGTAATGATGTTTAGCGATAGTAAAAGATGTTGATGTTGATGTTAATAGTGATGATATTGTTGATGGTGTTGATGATATTCTTGATGATGGTGTTGATGATGATGCTGATAAATGGTGTTGATGTTGATGATAATGATATTGATGATGGTTGTGTTAATGATGATGATCCTGATGCTGATGAACAGTGCTGATGTTGATGATAATGGTGATGATGCTGATGATTGGTGTTGATGTTGATGTTGATAATAATGATAATGATATTGATGATGGTTGTGTTAATGATGTTGATGCTGATGAATAGTGTTGATGTTGATGATAATGGCGATGATGCTGGTAATGTTGATGATGGTGGTGTTGATGATGATGCTGAAGATGATGCTGATGCTGATGAATAATGATGATAATGGTGATGATGCTGGTAATGTTGATGATGGTGGTGTTGATGCTGATGATGATGCTGATGATGATGCTGATGAATAATGTCGATGTTGATGTTGATGATAATGTTGGTGATAATGGTGGTGATCATGATGATGGTGTTGATCAGTAATGCTGTTGGTGTTTATGATGATCAAGGATGGTGATGGTTATTGGTGGGGATGACGGTGATGATAATGATAGTGATAGTGCTGATGATTGCACAAATCTCCAACGTTGCAGTCCCCAGTCCTCATCACAGGTTGAAAGAAACACAGTTAATTCAGTGTGCCAGGTGGTTTTTGTGACCCCTTATCGAACTTTCTATTCATTTCAAACACTTCTCTTAGTTACGGGCTATTAATCAGTCATCAAGAAATTYCGTCATGTCTCTTGATGATGTCATACACGACGTCATCGTACTCAATGCACAAAGTGCACGCGATAAACATAGTCAAGCGTTGTATAAATATATAGGACGTGCAATGGCTCAGTAGGGTTCAGTGGCGTGAAAGCCTGGAGTGCCATAGATTTTACGTAGAGACTGATCCTGATATCTGACGGTATAGCGCGTGATATACTTACTGGTTTCCAATCATTCACAAAAGAATGAAACAAAAAGACAGGGTGGCGGCCATGTTGGTGGATATTCCACAGAAGAGACGCGAATGACAAATCTTTTGCTAAATTCCTACAAAATGATGACTTTCCCAACTAATTGTTATACAAAGGGACGTTTTTTTGAGCACTGAACGAGTTTTAACTCACGAGACAGACACCCAGATGCGTAATCTCCTTCCCCTGACAAGTAGTCAAGGTATTCCCTCTATTCAAGGTATAACGATTACTGTCTGGGAGATAACTTGAGTGGTTTTCTGTGATTGAAGTTCGCTGTCTTCAGTCATTTTTCCATCAGAAAGCACTCGAGTTTGAAGTGGCCACTTCTTCGTTGTTCCTAAAAGTAATTAGCCACTTCATTAGTAATAAGAATGTCTTGGGTTAAGTTGAGTTTCACAATCTAATCTCGGAAGAGATGAAACTGAATACAGACCGGCATTCAATTTCCATCCACGAGTAGGGTTGTTTGCTTTTTCTTCTCCTGATTCTTTTTAGAGGGAAATGATTCAGTAACACTGTATAGTAACTGTCGTTTCCGCGGAGGCGTTAATAGTCCTCGTCGGAGTAATGAATATCCGATTCATATACAGTGCAGCTCAAACTCTTTACTTTACTCGCTAGTTTTCTTATCTTCTTAGAGGGAATTAGAGGATTTTCCGGTGTACAGCTACGCTGCTTCATTCTCCTTTAGCTGAAGTTCAACTTCTAAATTTCAATATGGCGTGAAACGCCTTTATCTCTGTAACCCTTGTATACAACCTGAGGAACTTCGTATTTTGTAAACACGTAAGATAAAGCATGGGTGCACGTTTGGTATTGGAAAATCCACGATAAGAGAAGGAATCACACACCCGTCACATCGATATCACTGATATAATTGATTAACAAATAGTATGACATAATAATAATAATGATAATAATAATAATAATAATAACAATAATAATAATGATACTAATAATAATGTGGTTCTTATATAGTGAATATACATTCAACAAGAGATCGTCAAAGAATTCTTTTAAAAGGATTTCACAGCCAGTGTATTAGGAATCTGCGATTAGGAGTGTGCCATTAAGGCCGAAACATTTATGAAGGGAGGGGAAGGGGAACTTTTTGCTCTCTTTTGTCGGCGATGTTCAGCTTATGCCTTAGGCGTTTGCTTGGTTGTTGTTGTTGCTTTTGCCTGTCCTCGAAGTATGCTTTATCCCCCTGTATGAATTAATTTGAGGTAAAAGTGGTTTGGCAACTGAGCAAGTTCGTTATTCAATCAGCATCACAGGCGTTCGTCCGATATGAAACACATGGCTAGTAGGAAACATGGCTAGTAGGAAACATGGCTAGTAGGAAACATGGCTAGTAGGAAACATGGCTAGTAGGACACACACACACACACACACACACACACACACACACACAAATACACAACTAATGATGTATGGTGTCACAATACAAATATTTTGATATTTTAAAATCTCCTTTGCAATTGTTTTGAATGCTTATCGCTGCACGCGTGGTTTTGGTTAATCATAACCATCGTTATTTTTGATTACAGGGTTTGCCCTTGTTTGGCAGATCTGTCAAAAGCCGTTTGAGTGCTGGCCAAACGTCAATCAAAATATGAAACAAGATTTTGACCTTCATTTATTTTTCTTAGCACCATATTGTTCTCATAAAATTTGGCCTGGAATAATGAACTCTCTACTGAGAAGATCAATACTCTAATTCGGGGACCATTCGTTTGCAGTTTGTGAATTATGTTCACTGTTTGCTTTACACCACACGCATATGTTGGGGTCATCACTTAAAAGTGTCCAACACTTCAGTTAATTCACTCCTGCACTGAACTACTTCAAATGGATACCCCTATATGTCGAGCACCGTTCGCTTTGGATCAGTTAATCCCGTATTTTTGTAATTTCACAAAATCTAAATTTCGTTGATAAGATCATGACATTTTTTTCTAACTTTGGGCAGCATTCGTTTCTAATCTAATGCCAGTCTTCTGCCGTGGGTGGGTGCAATGTTGGTGGGTTCGCAACGTCTTAGGTGGGTACGGTCGCACGCTATTAAATTCTTAAAGATGTTCTAAACAGTAGAGATTACGAAAGCAAACTTTCATTACTTTACATCTTTAGTTAGAAAACCACAAAATGACCTCCCCTGCTCTAGACTAGAGACCCGAGATCAGTACAGGGTATATGGGTGTAGCCTCAAGGTAACAACATGGCTTACTTTTTTCTATTTATCTTTAAGATGTTACAATAAATGAGCGGTCCTTCTAGAAGACTACGGGTGTGGTCTTGATTATTGGTGGTTTGAGTTTTTCTCACGCCGGGCTGGATCCTGCGTATTGATAACCCAATTAATTCTCTCGTTCATCTTAACCTTCACCTCTGATAAGAAAAGGACTTTTCAGATTTGTGGAATTACGATCTTATTTCTCATCTTTCTTGTCAAAACTAACCAAAATTGGCTTCAAATTTCACCGAAATTTTACAGAGCAGTTTCTTTCGGCTTGTTTTTCTCGGGACAAAAAAATATATCTATATTGGGCTATGATCGTATCATATCTATGAATACCTTTGATTGGCATCTTAAACGATCCGTTTATGAAGACCTGATAACGATAAACCAAGGTAGAAGAATGCGTGCTTGCTTATGATTCGATTGCCCAGGGCAACAGCCTTCCGACGACACAGCAATCAAACTTAAGCCCCGATGGTCCCCAAGACAACAGATTAGGAGCACTCCAGGAGAGCGCTTTGGCGGGTGCACATGTACAATCACTGCAATTTATCCCCAATTAGTTTTCTAGCTTAATCTTGACACTGATGAAATAAAGTTTTTTAATGTAAGGTAAGACTTTTCCATTATCGATAAATAAGATGTGGTTTGTGGTTTGAACTGTCTGACCGTTTGAACAGTGTCATCAAGAACACTGTCTTCCTTGTGTATTTTGATTTTCTGCGAGAGAATAGACCCACTACTATCGCTATCGGCTTAATGTTTCGGATGAAGCTTTTGCTTATAACTACATAACTTGAACAATTTCTTTTCAAAATGGAATACAGACTAACTTGCAAGTTTGACTTTATAAGAATTTCAAGATATTGAATTTGGAATTTGACATCCTTGTTTATCAAAGAGCCATTTTTGTCTAGCGATATTAATAATATAATGTTATTAGCTTGAAACAATGTAGCTAAAGGTGCTAAAATGATATACTGCTAAACGATCATTAAAAATAAATCCATTTTTAGCCTATATTATATGCAGATTTATTGTTTAGTGATTGTTCTTGTCAATCTCACTTTCTTTTCTGTTGACACACTATAATAGACATTGAAAATAGGAATCTGGATTTTCAGCTTTAATTTGTTTTGTAGAAGGGTGTAGCTGTTAGGAGTACTGTGTAGTCCACCCAGAAGCAAGTACTGAAAAGGTTGCAACAGGCCTGGCATAAAGCATGAAAAAAATGGGAGGGTGTGAGTGATGCAGGGGCACTGAGCTGTCTATCCAGGAAGGATATTAGGATGCAAAATGCAGATGGCATAAGCTATTGATTTTCAGCTTGGCATTTGATGGTTAAAGAGACGCTTAATATTACATCAACACTGTATCCGAACAAGGTTAGGAAGGAATAGACAGCTGTGTATGCGCACTCTAGCTTTATCCTCAGTTTGATTTAGTGGAATTCGTGTCTCGCAATTAGACTAGATTCTAGCCCTGGGCCTTTTTTTACGATACGACTATCGTGACCATAAAATATTTTGGTCTTAGCCTCCTGTAACTTCCTGCACAGCTGTTAAATACGAACTCTGTTCCAAAGCTTAACTTGTACAATGTCGAATTGTTATTCACGTCCGGAATACTCATTGGTTTGTTCCGTCCTTTTGGTAATGACCTGTCTAATCTTTAATACTACTGAAAAATATGCATTCCGCTAAAAGGCACATGTAATACTGTAGCGCAGTGTGGTATCCACTTAGACATCTTTTGATTCAATCGAAGAACCCATCACAAGGGGACAATAGAATGAAAGAATGTCTTCAAAGGGTCAGACAGGAACTGTGATTTATTGCAATGTAAAAATAGGACAGAAGCGATGCAAGCCATGTCACAAATGTTATATAGCTCTAACTTCGTTACCATGAAACGTCGATCTTAGAACAGGACTCTATTGTTTCAGCGTAAATACATTATGAGGTGAAAAACCTTACGAAATCAAGCATTGTTGAAGAGAGACTTCAGCCACCCATAAACTTATAAATGCAAACAAATTCAAGTGTATTTTCGTAAGGGTTCCAAACATTCCTAAACTCAAAGAGTCAATGTAGACTTGGGCTAGGCCCGGAACACTGATGATGGCGGCTTTGCCGACTATCGTAGGGCCGCTTTCCGTTCTTTTACTATTTCTAATTGTAACCAACCATATGGGCTTGACACCCGCCATGAATAGTTCCATTTTGCGAATAATTATGAATGCAAATTGTTTCTTGTTCTTGCGGTTAGACCGGAAGTATGAAATACATGTGACGACAATGTGGTCTTCGCAAACGTCTTTTGGCGATATTTTTAGCCTTGTTAATGAAGTGGATCTGTAGCGATAAAGTTAAAATAAACTTTGTCCTGTTTTACTATAGCTTAAGATCGTTCTATGATTACATAAGTGAAAAAGGTACAATTCCAAAAATCACGGTTTTTAGATTATAAAGTATTGGGGTGTGGCAAATTGCAGTTGGGAGAGGCTATCTGACTCGATCCGCGTAGATGTTTGAAACCTTGTTATAAAACACCAACGAACAACTAATGATGGTATAAAATGGCTTTTTATTCTAGTTGTTTGCATGGTCTATTGTTTCCATGTAATAATCCTACTCGGGGTGGTCCTTACTTCCGGGTTCTTGTATTTTGCCCATAGGTGGTTCCGACAAGTTTTACTTCATTTGTCATAACGTGGCACTGATCACTTGTATTGGTCTTCATGACTGGAACCACAAACGTTTTCCATCGGCCTGTTATTGTGAGTGTACGTTCGTAGCATTTTAACTAGAGGTTTACTCGAGGCTGCATCCCGTGGTCTTTACAAAGAAAATACCGGTTGCAACGCAGGCTACCAGTACAGAAGTTTGGAGAGATGAAAATTGCCGCATATCGGAAATTAAAAAGTCATTTCATTCAACAAAACTGAAAACTCAGTAGATATGCACTTGAAATTGTTTAATGCTGTGAATTGTACTTATATAATTTACCTAATTAATTTACTTGACTCAAATAAAGTTCGAGTTAAAAACACGTACAGAAAAAAAGGCCTCCATCGCTCACAAAGTCTGAATACATACTTAGATTCCAAGTGTCACCTATAATGTCTTGTAAAACTGTTAATTATTAATATTGATCGTCTGATCGTATCGGTAACTCGTGATTATTAATCAGAATTGGTGCGTGTTCAAAACAAGTGTTTTCGATGATTCGAATCTTGCGTGTCATACTAAATGCCATGACGTTTGCACAGAGATCTGAGTCAAGGACTTTATCAGAAACGGCGGGATGGAATACTTTGTTATTGATGTAAGCTTGGCCCTCACGTCAGCCTTGACCTCAGGAAAATGTTTCTCAGTGCTACCTTACAATGAGGCCTGATTATATTTCTCACTTGTGTAAGGGACAGTCAAAACGTCTTTTCTTCCGTTAGTTGACAAGACAGATCGATTGAATTTCTCAAATAAACAGATTGTCAAAGAAGACACACAAGTTCTGGCTTAGTTTTAAGAGAGTGGAGAATAGGAACAATTCGCCAAAACACCGCAAGATTAAGATCAAAAGATTTGTGGGAAAGCGATGGTTTTCGCGCCTCGGTGATACGACATTTGTGGGATTCCTTAGCTTCCCCTTGCTCGCCCTATCGCAGGAGTGTGCCCCAGTAACAATGAATATTGTCATAAATCAATCGTTATCCCTTTCTTTTATTACGTACCCACTGATGAAACATTCTTTAATTTGCGATGAACATGATATTTATCCAGATCATCCATTCACACTGTACCAGGACGTTCCATTTAATTGACTCGCCGAATACGTAACATTGTCCTTCAAATCAATTGGCTTGGACACGTTGCCAGGCCGGTAACGATATCCTGTAACTTCCGGCGAGCCGACACGAGTTCTCTGACAGCGTGCGGCTTATGCGCAGAAAAACATCCATTTGACCCAAACACAGCGCAAGAGAGATCAGTCTACCAACAATCACTAAACAGTCGAGAGATCCAAGATGCGTGCCGTGTGGGGATTTGTTTTGCTTTGCTCTTTGGCGATTGGCACTCTGGTATCAGGACAGTGTGACCAAAGACAACGAGGTGGCCCTCTTATATGCTGTAGCGGGCGAAATAGTACTTGTGCTGCGGAGAGGTACGAGAACGACGAGAAGGACCAGCCAGCCGAACTGAGAAGAAAAGTATGCTTCTGTGATGCCTTCTGCGAACCTGCCGGGGACTGTTGTCCCGACTTTGAACGCGTGAAAGAAGAATGTAAAATTAAAGGTAAGTGGAATGTACTGTGAGAACTGACCATCTGCGCCTCAGATGTTTTACCATCACTGAGACTTTCCTAGTCCTCTTGACTTTTCTCTTTTAGAATCCATTAAAGTGCAATGCATTGCACTTGAAATCTTTCCAAATCTTTGAAGAAAATTCTACATTGGTCTACTGAGAGCGATAATGTTCTAGTTTATATAAAAATCTTCTGAGCACGAGATAGTTTTCTAAAGATTACTTGAAGCGTGGCGACTTCCGATTTATTGAATTTTAGTTTACTTTTTCTGATTAGTTTACTTTTATCGATTTAATTCATAATCATTATCTCGACGGCGAGTTCGCTAAATGGCCTTACATTTTTTGYATACATTCTAGAAAAGCTAGTACCTTGAAAACTATAGTTATGTTCTAGTATTGTTTGGTTTGAAGGGGAACGATCTGATTGTCCATATGACCCCGGGAAATGATTGACTTAATAATGCATATTGCTTATCACTGCCTCAAGAGGGATGATGGGGTTGCGGTGCCTTAGGATTCAGTTAGCGGTAATCATGGGAAATAGTTGCCGAATTTGAGAAGCTCGCGTATAAAATGACCTTTCAGTGCGTGTGAATCGAGTTCGGAATTATGACGCAAATTCAGGGTCAACTTGTATGCTTCAGGATTTTTATTCTCTTCTCTTCATAAGCTTTACATTACATTCAACTTGACCTTGGTGACGAGAAGATATCCTCATTCAGATGGAAATGAAATTAGTAAACGAAAAATTCGCCAATTTTTGACCATAATGTTGGCTATACTTTACAAGAGTTGGCCATTGCGTGAATACGGGATTATAACATTGAGTATACATGACCAATCCCTAAACAAACACGTTAAACTAACCTTGCTAGCACAAATCCGCCAAACAAAATCCTCTTACGGTCCGTCTATTATGGTAAATTTTAGTCTTTCTCTTTTAAGGTGGAAGTATTCTGTTTTATCACCCTCTTAAATGATCTATGCATAGTCTTTCTAGAAATATCTGTCGCCAGGATGTTGTTAGGCTATAGCGCCGTAAAAATCTTGAACGTTGGCAAAATAATATATGTGTTTCATTTTGGTCGAAAGCAGAGACCAAAATTAAGTGGATTAAGGGTGTAATTTGAGATTTTTGGTTTTGGTATTGAAAAAAAAGTCGACTTTTCAAAACGGGATCTTTAAAATAAGAGTCCTTTTAGGTGTCATTTTGTTTGACAACGAGCACAACACACAAAACCTAGGATCACTTAAATTTGATTGTCACAGCTTATGGTTCAAGTCAACGTTGATATACTATTTAAACACAGAACAAAGTAAACGTTTTTGCATAAGAATAGTACTCGGTGGACAAAAAGATTCTGTTGTCTCCAAAATTCAATTCAAACGGAATGTGTTTCGATTTGAGTGTTGTTTTTTTAATCATTAAATTCTTATTATTAAGTTTTAGATAAACAGTATTTTCTGCAATAATTTTTTGAAGGTGGTTAAGTTTGTATGTGAGGGTTCTAGACCACTGCTGCTCTCTTCTGTGACTATTTCTTATGATGTGGCTAATTTTAATATAGGGTTGACGTTAATTTTAATCTGAGTCGATGTATTGCTATTGGTTGGAAACTCAAGTTGGAAGACCTGGATTCGAGTCGCGAGTTCCAATTCGATAAGTTTCTTTTTTTCCCTTCATATGACGTTCAACAATGTTGTGTTAAACTTGGCTCAGACATTCAACGTCTTTAAATCGAAGGATTCCTTGTTGTGATTCCATCCTCTTATGTCCTTGTCAGCTGGCCATCCTCAGGCCAAGGTTGTTATCTCGCCATAATTTGAAAGAATGGTTGATCATGTCAGCGTTTTAACTTGACCCAAACAAGTCAAACTCTTTTGATAACATCTCACCAATATCCAAGCAAACAGCGAACAGAGGCACAGAGGATGGTTTCCTTATAGTCATGAAATAGTAGGGTGTTTTAGTTGGTTTATGTCTAGAAAGACCTTGTGGCATTCAAAAAAGATGGATGTCGGCTGACATAGTAGTCTACATTTATCCCATTCGTAGTCTACATTTATTTCATTCGGTCTCGTTATCAACATTTCCAGCCAAGGACACCGATGACGCCACATGGTGTTTTCCACTACCATTCCAAACGTCGGATTTTTAATTGCATGAAATATTTGTGTCGAGTCAATTTAACTCGTATACCGGTGACTGAGTTGACAAGGAAAGAACAGTTGTCTTGATTCAAGTGCATATGTCTAACCATGTGGTAACACTTAAGTTTTAAAATTTGGCCAGCTATTTCATTTGGTACACCTAGGAAATCTAAGGATTGTCCAACGAATTTTCCCTCGGGATTCACTCAGACCGCTATCTTTAAAATACTTTTGGTAAAGGTGATGACATGTGATTTGGTATATGAAAAAGTACATCAAAAATTTTTGATCAAGACAAGTTTATGAATGCTTGAGGACCTAAATCAATGGATTGTATTTGATTGTAAGGCAACTAAATAGTTCTTTTGGGATTAGGGGAGGGGGTGGGTAGGAGAAAATGGCATTTGTACTCTAGTCGTTTTTATTGATAATGTATTTAACTCTTTTTGGACCACTTGACTTTAAACTGACTTCCAAAAGCAAGCCAACTTAAATATATTTTTATCGCTTTTTGCCTTAGTTCAAGCTCAAGTGGAAGTCCTTATGAGCCACATTATTAAACATTTCCCACTCATTTCAATCTTTTATATTATCAGCCTCTTTGATTCCCAGCGCGACCTTGGACAAAAGAATTCCAACCTTCTCATATTTGTAATAACTTTCTGCTCTAATCGTTTTCAGAATTTGCTTTCCGCACTCAACCTTTCACCTTACTAAAATGTTTCCCCGATGGGATTTGCCGATTTTCCAGCGCTTGCCAGATTGATATCAGACACAGATATACCTTGATCCAGACATGTGAAGAAATTACAAATAGGTTAAGAAAAAATAACTTAAATGCTTCTAATATTAGCCGATGTCGTTACGTTTCTCACCGAGTCTTTAAACAAACATTAGAAAGTTAAAAATAGCCAGCTGGGAATGTAGAATTAAGAAAATTTAGGTTTCGCCAAAGTAGACAGACCCTTGGCCTCAAGATTAGATTTACGAATGTACTTGTCTTTTTTGGAAGCTTTTGATAATCCACAGGTATCCCAATATATGAAATTGGTTGCTATGCTTACACTTCTTATGAAAACACTCATTTCTCGAGACGTTTGGACCCGGGGATCTTATTCCTTATCGCATTAAAAGAAGACTGCTAATTAAGGGCTAGAATAGGCCAGTTTATGTAACGTTTTATAAACATATTGATCGTAATGTGATCTAAATAATAAAATATCCTATATGAAATCTGTTGCACACCATCATCTTATTAACACTTAATAATTAATTTAAGCCTGCTCTTACAAAAATTTCTGATGGAACAAGTTTAGCTGAGAGAACGGAAAAACAAGACAACATTTAAGACCGTTTTTAAATTGTCAAATAACCATATCATCAATCAGTAAAGATAAAATTCTATTATGAATCTCTGCCAAAACCAACCCTTCGTTGACAGGTATTGAAATACCACCTTATTCTTCAACAGGGTTTTTCCTGATTCAATTATGATAATATCGTACTTATTATCCTTGTGAAGCTCTTGAGAATAATGATCAATGTTTGCTCGATGGCCTAAAATCTTTTTTAAATACATCACTCTTGGTTACAACAAGTTTCCCGCAGAAAACTAATGTCGATTATTTTAACTGTAGATAACTTTGTTTGTTTTGTTAGGTTGACATCGTTGCGGCTAAATTTGAAAGAAGAATATATTCTAATTAATTAATTGATTTATATTTTAGAATATTTTTGAAAAATAAAGATTTGTCAGACTCAGTGAAACACCCTTTCGATTAAGAAGCTTAAAAAGAGGTTTTCGAAAAATGTTTTTAGGAAGCAATCGTGCAGAAGACTCGCTAGCCGGTTACTCTATATTACAAGAATGAGTTATTCCAAAATTGTGTATTGTTGTTAACTAGTCATGTCGTGTTATGGTTGTTGTTGTTGTTGTTGTTGTTGTTGTTTGAAGTAACAGATATTAGATCGAGGCATTTGGCAGTCAATATAAGCATCAGTAGAACCTCATAAATGCAACAATTGTTTTAAGACTATAGTGTGTAACTCTATTTCTTGCTATTGACCCACTCATTCTTGACCTGCGTTGTTTAGGAATGGAATAAATGTACTGCAACACTCAACAAACTAAACCCCTCAGAAGCGACCAATTTTTACTCAAGCAATGATTGGTCATGTTTAACAGATACAAAGACTTTTTTGAAGCTTTGTACGAGACACGGATGTCATTTTGAAAAAAGTCATTTTCAACTCTTAAAAACAAACATATACATATATATATATATTTTTCCTGCAAAGTTTTATCGATTTTACTCTCTTGATAATCAATGCTCTTAAATTTCATTCAAACCGTAATTGGTTTAATCACTGCACACTTGTCAAATGATGTACAAAAGGCATAATTATATTTCAAAGGTACAAACTTTCAACTTAAAAATATGAAAATTGAATGATCTTGTCATTCTCATAACCCAGTAAAAAAAGTGCAGGATTTTGTTTTGAGGTAATTACGAATCTCGTGATAGTGTACGAGAATGCTGAATTGTGTCGGCTTTTTGTACTTTTGTTGACAAGAGTCCGTCAACAAAACATTGATAGAAAAGACAGCAAAAGAGCATACTTTATCTCTCACTACCTCAATATATATTTTTTCAAAACATTTACATATTGTATTTATAATTTTTTTTGTGACGGTAATGATAATATAGATTATTGCTAAGTCTTAAAAGACTTACGAACATTCTATAATTGTACTTTTGCTGTCTTCTCTATCAATAATCATATTTAAAGATTATAATTCGCTAACAGACATACACACGTGCCGCTTATTTGCGTTAACTTGCAGACTAATAAACTTCAAACCACATCCACAGGGGTTCGACCTGGCCTCTAGACAAACATACTTCATCGGTTTTATTTATTTGAGAATTTAATGTATTCACCACATTTAGCAAGCATAACCACTCGAGGCTTCAAGTTATTTAGAAAGGATGATTTGACAAGCCTCGGTTTGATCCTTTGTCTTTGAGCAGATAATGTATGGAAGGATGTGCAAGTTGAAAATGTCCGGTTTTCAATGCCGCTATGTTGGATGAACACGAATAGTTTTTCATTGGTTTCTTTTGATGTTTTCTCATCTTATTTTCGTGGCCACGTGTAGTCATTTTGTCCGTTTGTGAGAATGGTTGCGAAATAGCTGTAGTCGTGATGTTAGCAAAGTATAGTTAATCATTTTGTTTCTTATTGTTGCCAAATCCTTTTTCCTTCAATCTATAACTGAAATATATTTGTTCTAAAGTTACTAAAGAACATTTCAGTAAGCTTTTTTTAGGAAGGGCTAGTAGCATTTAACCAATGCAATTTTTAATCTAATAATTATAGTTTGGTAAGTCCTTGGACTATATTTTGTAAATCGGTTGTAGCACGCGCCAGAAACAGCAGGTGATCATTTTAAAGCGTCTAGAACTCACTCTTCTGTATCCGGCTTAACGAAAACACGTCTAAAACGCTGATGAAGCTTGTCTCTTTTCCTTGCGACCATCATTACCAATCACGCAAGGCGCTTAGGATAGTTTTCCTTCTTATGTAACCACAGGCTAACCACTCTAATAAATGAAGGAAATACTAAATGGTGTCTTATCTTTTTATGCGCACGCTAACGATTTTTTGTCATCTCCCCTACCCCCCTTGGTAACAATTTTGTTTTTCTACTATACAATATACTAACAAGGTAGGCAACTTCACGGGCTTCCTGTGGAAAATTCAAACTTTGACGAGAGAAAGCCGCGAATTTATCCAGATATTTTGACTCCGAAAACGAAAAAAGTATACAGAACGTCGTACTTACATCTAATCTTCAATAATTTAAAGGATTTTTGATAATAAATTCTCTATAAGGAGGGTTTTTTTGGGCTTTTTTAGCGAAAACCTATGTGCCGTCAGTTATGCTTGCATCTGAGCGGGCCTGAACACGAGAAAAGGGATCCAAAACAAGTCCTCTCCCTCCCTCTCCAAGTGGTTTTGGTTCGTTACCACATACTTTCCAACCCCACTCCTCGTGAGTCTTGCATTTTAATTCCGGTTTCGCGAAGCCAATAAATAGGCGACCGCTTCTTGATTGTAAAAAAAAAAACCGGAAGTAAAATGCAAGACTCACGGGGTGTGGGGTTGGAAAGTATGTGGTAACGAACCAAAACCACTTGGAGAGGAGGGAGAGGACTTGTTTTGGATCCCTTTTCTCGTGTTCAGGCCCGCTCGGATGCAAGCATAACTGACGGCACATAAGTTTTCGCTAAAAAAGCCCAAAAAAACCCTCCTTATAGAGAATTTATTATCAAAAATCCTTTAAATTATTGAAGATTAGATGTAAGTACGACGTTCTGTATACTTTTTTCGTTTTCGGAGTCAAAATATCTGGATAAATTCGCGGCTTTCTCTCGTCAAAGTTTGAATTTTCCACAGGAAGCCCGTGAAGTTGCCTACCTTGTTAGTATATTGTATAGTAGAAAAACAAAATTGTTACCAAGGGGGGTAGGGGAGATGACAAAAAATCGTTAGCGCGAGCATAAAAAGACAAGTCACCATTTAGTATTTCCTTCATTTATTAGAGTGGTTAGCCTGTGATGTAACTGATAGAATCTTTACTTCGTCGTTAGTACCGTTGTTTTTTTTTTCAATAACAGGCGTTACGGATGAGTGTTTGTTCGTTTGTTTTACTGATGAATATTTGTATCCTAGGTGTTCGGGACTGTGTGGTTTCAACTTGGTCCCGATGGACGTCGTGTTCGCATGATTGTGGCGTCGGAACACGAAAACGACATCGTGAGGTCATCGTTAAACCATCGGAAAAAGGTGGTAAATTGTGCCCACCTTTAAGAGAAAAAAGGGGATGCTTTCTGAAGCACTGCGGAGAACGATCAGGTAGGCATTAACTAAGTGTCTGGGAAGGGTTCTGGTCCGTTTAGAAATTTATATCTTCTAAAATATTTCAGATTCCAAGATCTTTCAAACCTGCGCGCGCGTTTTGGTGGGACATTTCCCGCAAAATCCACAGGAACTCCGACAGCATAAGTCATGGAGAGAACCATTGAGTGGTAATTGGCTTTTCTGTTATCCAAACATGGAACACTGTGATAAAACACTTCGACCCATCCTGCCAACATAATAATTCAATCAATAACAATTTTAGAAGTCTTTTAACTATATTTTTTGTCAAGGTCTGGCACATATCTTACCTAAAAAGTTTAAACGCCTACCATCCAAATACGAGAGTATTCTACCAAAAAGAAAAGATTTTGAAGAGGAAGAGAAGCCAAAAAGGTAATCATTACGACATTTGATTTAAAAGACGAGCAGGCGAAGTAGAAGATGTCTCGACTCGTCTCAACTCTTTACACCAAAGAAAATTTGTTGCGCGCGCGCAAGGTGGTAATGGAGTGGTCACATGGCACCCATGTTGTAATTGGCAGCGACAATGCAATGTTTTTGCATAACAAGAGTTTTCATTTTTCCCAAGGACATATTACTATTTTTTTGTCCTACTTCATGGCGGCCGTGAAACGCCAAGATGCATTTGTAGCACGTATTGCCGCACCCTAATGAACCACCAATAACGTATGTATTACTCCGGAGCAATTATTTCACGTTTTCAGTCTCATGTGTAGAAATACTATTTTTTCTTGTATTACAGGAAGAGTTACTGTATGTTCTTCAAGATAGAATCCAAGCACCCATACTGCAAAGGGACCTGGGCGCGGGACCTGGATCCTAGAAAACCAACTTGTGTGGAATGCCAAGATTCTGCCATGGACGAGAATGGTGATTGTAAAGGACACGGTGTTGTAGGAGAGATTACGTCATGGGTTGCCGTTGATATATACAGTTGTCATGGTGAATGGCTTAGACTAGGACCAATGGTAAAGTCGTGCGAATGCAATACTAGGAGATTCAACAACTTTATTTTTGTATAAACTGAATTTTGTCAAAGCTTTCTTTATCGAAAAAATCATAGTTTAGGATATTTTAAAAGCTATGTAGATCTCGTTAAACTCTTATATTATATAAATATATATATACATATATTTCCAAAGTTGTTGGTTAGATCGTTACGTTACTCAAGTTTTTAATAAATTCTCCTACGGTATGTGCGCGCGCTGTGATGCATTCTATTCCCATTTACAAGAAAAACTTAAACATGGCATAGTTCGTGTGCTTCTGCAAGGTTCGTTGTTTTATCTCAATAGTCTATTTTCTCATTCAGTAACTACCGCGGTGTTCCTTTACTAGTATCTCATTCAGTGGTACGACTTTAGACTCGTTTACTAAGAGAAACTCATTCACAAAAGTTAAATGTAAAGTAAAAGTAAAAAATGTGGAACTTAAACATAAAACAAGGTTTCAAATCCCATACACTTTTACTGGTGTCTATGGTGTCGAGGTTATAAACCTGATAATATTTCAAGGGTCTGTGATAGTCGGCAGTGACAGCGGCATTCATCGAATGAAAAAGAGGATTATTCTTATGGTAAACATTTTGTAGGTAATTCTGTTTCAGTCTGCGCTTTCCATAATGATATGAAAAAACTACCTCATTATGATATAAAAAATATCTGTTGGTAAACAGGCGAAACGTTTTCATTTCATTTTTCCTGCTCTTTATTATTCATCTGCCTAACTGAAAATATGTATATCGTAAAGCTTCTCTACTCAAGACAAGTTTCTAAATCTTCACTTAAACTGAATAATAAACTTTAACCATTGTAACATTTCATTTTTGTTATATTTTTATTTCTTTTTCAAATACTCCGTTTACAGTGTTGTTAATGTATAATCAACTGGAATTGTAAGATATTAAAGTTGATCGTAGAGGTCTTATTATAGGTGTATGTATAGTATCATTATTGTTTTGTGTCGACATAAACAAATTGACCTTTTTTAGTCTAGGTGTAATGTTTTCCCATTTCAGACCATATGTTTTCCCTGAGATATTTCTCTCTCTCTCTCTCTCTCTCTCTCTCTCTCTCTCTCTCTCTCTCTCTCTCTCTCTCTCTCTCTCTCTCTCTCTCTCTCTCTCTCTCTCTGACAAGGCTGGTACGAGATTCACTGAGCGGATTCAGCGACATTCACGCTCATTCTTCAGCTGATTGATACGAATACTTAAAGCTTCACCGAAGGTTGGCAATAGGTTTATTATTTATAATGATGATTTATATAGTTCTCTTTCTAAACATATTTAATTTAAGGTGCAGTAATTAAACGCAGCACTTTCTCCCCCTGAGTGCTAGTCCGCCCGGGACTCAAACCATGAAAAGTCCGATGTTCAATCAACTGAGCCAACTACTGGTTGGCTGTTATATCCCGGCCTGGATTTATTCAGCTGATTTTTATTAATCAATGGGAAAACATTATACCAAGAGAAAATAAGTCTTTTATCGACCACAGACCCAGGTGTTAAAACTGTTCAGGATACACACATTGCTCATTACCACCAATCGGTACAAGGTATATATCTGGCTCGGTCACTGCCCCCGTGATGTCTACCCTGATGTCTATTCCATGTGGTTTAACCATGATGTAACCGTCGTCTCGGTGCCGATACCATGGTGTTGGGGTGCTGCTTTTGATTTTAATAATCGGCCGATTTCCACTCATGTCCATGATCTCAAAGCGTATCTCTCCAACTACAAAATTAAAAAAGATGAGAAAAGGGGCAATGACCACCTCAATCCGCCTCCTGGATATGCTCATGTCGTATGATCATGCCATTTTGATTGAATGTATGTCAGCAACTTTGTCTGGGGGGATTTWAAAAAAATTACGTTTTCCTCATCACTGCCATACGTGTCTGACATGCAAACATACGTCTCCATTTTGGAGCTTTTCTCTCGATTTGATAAAATTATTCTTAAGTTCTTAGCCGAAGCATGTGTTTTAAAACTACAGACGTCATTTTGTTGTATGCAGCTCATAATTAGCACTCATACATTTACCTGAGCCTTGCTTTCTCTTGACGTCATCTACGTCGATGATGTACTCGTTGGCGCCAAAGTTTTGTATTACTACATAAGGTCCATCCACTCCCATTATCACTGTATCGTGAAGCCTACAACAGAAAATACGCTTTAGCGCAACATTCTCCTTATTCGCTACGGAAGAGTCTTATTTGCCTTGGTTCGTATTGTGGTTGGGTTCTAAGAATCATTTTAAATTTCTGCTTCCCCCTGAAAAACTCTGATCCTTGAACTCTATGGTGAATGTGGCTGGGCATGCCGGAATATGGAAATATAATGAAGGTTGTTTATATATTGAATGATGAAAATGTTTATATTTTCGTTAGGAAATAAATTCACATATTAAATACTTGGCATAAGTTCCCAGATATGTTTTTCACTTTCCTGCATGTTTAGCTGCTTCTGGGTTCAATTCTGGATAATATGAAACCTGTTCGTTGAATGCACTACATATAAAATATTAATGCTCACGCTTACCTTGAACCTTTGAAGACTGTTACTTGCTTTACATGCCCCACGCATCTTTTTGTCTCAAAGTCTTCCTTCAAGTAGCAGATTTTTCCATTGCCTTCAGTGTTGTCAAAGATGACACCAACCAGAAGATCCCCCCTATGTCTTCCAATGCCCAAAGCAACCCCAAGAGACAAAAGGTTCCCATCAGCTCCAAGGTCTGAGACTATGAAGTCTTCCTTGCTGCTTGCGACATCCCCGATCATGGAATTAATAGAGAGAACATCTTTCCCAGCGCCGGTGTTGATAGTAATCCTACCAGTCCTAGGATCTATGTGATCCAGCTCGTCTATACTGATTCGATCACTTTCAGGTTCGCATCCAGTCTGTTGATTATCATCTATTTGTCGTAACTTTTTAATCTTTCTTTTTATTTTTGAATGGAGCAAGGAACGCTTGGAGGGCCTTTCCCATTCGCCAAAACTGACATCGTTGTAGTTTGGCACGACTTGTGTGTCGATTTCGATGTTTCGATGAAAGTAACCAATATTCTTGCCAATGTTTTTGTATTTCCGTACGAGGGACTGAAGGTATTGACGGAATGGTGTTGTATTGATGTTGATAGTGTTGCCACAGAACTTCGCTTCCGTTGGTGCACCTATGAAGTCGAATGGCATCTCAAGAGCAAATTCAGGTCTTGAATCTGTTGAGCTTCTTTGTTCTCCAAGCATAAAGTAATTCTTCCCTTCGTAGCTATTCTTCTTTGGGTTGCAAGGCGAGGCGCCAGGGTTTTCACAAGAGGGATGGAAAAACCTCATTTGGGTGTCTGGCCGGATGCCTTTCTTGATCATGACTCCAGTATTAGACATGTACATCCACCCAAAGCTATTTTTCAAAAAATAGAATGTCATTGCAAGATGAAATAAGCTTAGCCATTCTCACTCTTTCAATCTCGTTCTTCTTCAGCTAATGAATAGCTAGATGTATGGCTAGCTTATTCTGTATAATGTAAGTGGTGGTGGAGAATTCAAGTTGTCAAATAGGAAGCCATTTTTACCGGCTAACACTACAAACATTCGCTCTAACATGTACGCACAACAAGGCTCTCCATTTTAGCTATTAATACAATACACTTGATCATTGACTATTATAAGTTACAAAATATTTTGACATTCCTCAAATAGCTTGACCGCAAACATTTCTTGTTTTTAATTCAACATTTCTTACCTCGACGACTTGCAATACCGTTCTGCGGTGAAGAAAAATACGCTAGAAGTGAAAAATGATTCGTCTTAGATTTACCGTTACCTTTTCTTTCCTAAAGCGGAGAACTTTATCAGTTGAGTCAAGTGGCCTTCCATGTCTTTACGCGAAATCTCGGACAACTTGTTAGCAGTCTCAATGGCCAGGTTTGATGGCCAAAGAGCTTCTATGATCATAGGAATAATAAAAAAAGCAACCCCTGCTATAGCACCAAATCCTGGCATGGCTAAACCAAAGGCAGCAAGTCCAACTAGGCCACCAACGATGCCAACTACGCTCTTGACAATTCCCTTTGTATTAGAATTTTCTATAGCATCTGCCAGGCCAAATCCACTGATCAATATTCCCAGGACATCTGATACCGGACCAACCAGTTTACCAGGTCTTGTGTCAAACTTTAGTCTTTTAACGAGAGCTTTAACTGTGCCATAGATTTTCCAAGCTTTAAGCTTTTTAGGCGATGGACTGTTTGACTCGGCCAATTCCTTAAGCCGATTGAAATCTGCAAGCCAGGCATCTGTAAGTTCGTTTCTTTCAGATGTTTTGCCTGTTAACACACAAAAAAATGCATTTGAATCATTTTTAGGGGGCGGGGGTTCCCGCGCTTTGTTCAATAACACAGCACTCAAGAAATACCGTGCTCTCTTCTCTGAAGGACTAAAGGTGTCAACTAATCAAAGTGCACGCAGCAAAATGACCGTGGATAAAATGATAAAGCACTTTGCAAGCTGAAAGTCATTTAGATCTTCGGGCCTTCGGTGCACAAGTTGCTGAACCCACACGTAATGCATCTTTCCGCCCAAGTACCATTAACGGGTACCAGCGAGTGTTCAGCCGGGTTAGGGAAGAAACCTGACAAAATACTCCAGAGGATGATGATGTGATGGGCTAGTATCCACTCCAAAGAAGGTAGTGATGTTCCTAGATGCCTCATAGCTAGTTCAGAATACAAACAAACAAACAAACACAAACACAAACAGGGCAGTAGTATTTGGATGTCCTACCAGTTCTTACAGTTTTATTCGTGACAAAACTTTGTAACCTACCCTTGACCAGATTTTCGATTTCATTTCGCACTGTCTCCTTATCCTGATTTGTCTGTTGACTTGATTCAAACTGTGAAACTTTTTGCCTTATGTCCAGCGACACAGACTCAAGGTAGTTTTGCCCTTTAGAAATAGTTTGGCGGAAAAACGATCTCTCAGACTGAATAACCGCCAAAAGATCTCCAGCTGCTTGATACTTTGGCGGCAAATCAGCGAGCAGGGTTTGAACAGCAAGGAACTTAAGTTGATCTCGTGCTTCACTGAGCGCATCAACCTTAGYCAGGGCAATAGAATCAAGCATAGAGACTTGTTCAAACATCTCTTTTCCGTTGGTGCTAAAGTATTTTCCATTGCTGGTAACAGACGCGCTGTAGATTTTTCCCAACGATGTTAGTAACTGCTCATCGCTTTGACTACTGACGCTGAAACGACATACGATGGTAGCAAATGCTACTATCACTGCCAGTAGGAACATACTTTCCTTCTTATATACAAGATCCAGTAACGCCTTAAAAAAAGAAGAAGATGTTATAGAATCCCTTTTGCAACATCACATTATAATGCCATACAGCCATTGACGCAATAAAAAAATTAAAAATAAATAAATAAAACTTATACAAGAAGAAAAAAATAAGAAGAAGAAGAAGGCACAACTCATCTCTTAAATTCTACATTCAACTTTCATGATGATTTCGTTTTCGTTTTCGTTTTTGAAAAGTTATGTCACACACCGAAAATAATTTGCTGTCCCAGTATTCCTCTACATCTAAAAACGTTTGTTGTGCGTTGTGTCTTATTTTATACCCTTAAAGGAATCCTTTTTTTGCATGCAAGCAAGTGGGCTAGCAATCAAGCAAGCAAACAAATGAAAAAGAAAGTCACGACCAAAATCAAAAGTTGCCAATTCTCTATTTTGAATTGAAAGTAAATGTTTTCCAAGTTTGCTTTTTCATTTTCTCATTTTGTCTTCTTCGAACCATTACCTCTATATATTCTACTAGGGCATTTCATGGAATCAAAAATGTTCACCATTTTATAATGGTATCCGCGTCACAAAAGGATAAAGGCTTTGTCTGTACTTACCCTTTTCAAATGAATCAAACTGAGCCCTGAATAAGAAAATAAATCAACTGTCTAGTAATATAATTATGGTTTATTAATTATTGAAATCATGACATCATTAGTTGTCAATCATAATCAACCTCTAACCCCTCATAATATTCGTTATTAATTGAGGGCCAAAGGGCCCTATTTTCAAATTTTTTTTTTGTTATAAATATTAATTGACAGATTTTGGCTCATTGAGCAGATATCTTTACCAAATCAAAGTAAGTAAGTATTTTAGCCCAATTAAATACTAGCAGAATCTTTATTTAATATTGCCAAATAGTCAATGATTGAAAGAATAGCTTCCGACAGTTGGACTGCAAAGAAAATCCTCTCATCTGCTGAGATGCAGCTGTGATGTTTGTTTGTTTGTTGTGAAGGGTTATAGCCTTTGACACCTTCTAAATTGCTTGTGAAGAACAAATCAAACTATAGAGCACGAAAATCCGTCTCTATTCAAAACAATAAAATATATTCGGATATTAGGCTTGTATGAGTTTTGGAAGACAATAATTGGTTTTGGCCAAAGAAAAAAAAAACAAACTTGAATTAATGATATAGAAAGTTTAGTCTCAAAAAAACTGAAAATTGAAAAATGATCTTGATTGACGTGCAGTCCCTTTTACTTATTAATGGCTGTTCAAAGTTTAAAGATTTCAAAGGGTAACACCTTTGTCTTTTTTCACGCCGGTTCTTTTCTAGATGTAAAAGCGGAAAATAAATAGAAGGTTAAGAAAGAAAGAAAGAAAGAAAGAAAGAAAGAAAGAAAGAATTTCATTTAGAAACTATTCATTAGACATAATGAAAAACGGGTAGTCCATGGCCAGGTCGTGCTTGATTGACGGGCTGGTGTGCACTACAAAGGCAGTTATTTACGCTTGTTAACATACCCTAACGTTAAAATAATATCTTTCATTTTTACAGGCTGGGCCACTGAAAAAAGTAAGAACCTACTAAAATACTGGTTGCTCTTCTTGCTTTGTTAGCGAGTCACAGCCTAATGATTTGAACTTCTCGCCAAAAGAGTAGAAAAAGTCCCGTATGTGTCTGCGCGCGGAATCGTTGTCTCAAAGCACAACTTTTTTGACATTTTTAAACAAAGGATATCCGAAATATTTGTAATTAGTCGGAGGAAACGGTCAGTAAAGACGTAATTATTTAGCTGTCAAATGGTACTTGACTTTTACCATGTTATCCCAGTAAATTGTGAAGCATCAAAGTCGAAGGTCACAAAAGCAACAACTACAATACAATGTTGGAACGTTAAGTTTGCCGTCCAGTGAGACTTGCTCTCATAGCACTGAATACTGAGTGAGTATGCGTAACACTAATTTTCTCTCTCGACACATTTTGCCATGTCTCTTAAGCCAAAAGAAAATAATATAAGACGCTTGAAACCTTGAAAGCGTTTTTCAGTGGCGTTGAATATCCTCTTTGGTTAAGTATCATGAGGTGCTGTTGAAAAATTAGAAGACATTTTCAGCTAAACGACAAATGTGCCGATATATCGAAAAGTGGTTAAAATTGGCAAAATGCATCCTCTTTGTTTCTAACAAATCACAAGTTGTTTTTCTGAGGCCCAAAATCATGGAAAACTAGTTCGAATGTCCAATGAATTTTTCTAAAATAATATTTCTAAAATAATGATTATCACGTATTGATCACTAACAAACTGACTATAATTGTAAAAATAACTTGATTTGCTAGGAATCGCATAGAAACAGACTGAAGGCATCTGTTAGTCGTGTCGGGATGTATCTCTTGCTGCTGTTGGTGGTGGCAATGCTAGAAATATGTCTCCAAGGTTAGTAGGAAACATCCAACGAATGTTTTTATTTTATTAAGCCAACTTAGGACTGTCTACCTCTTTCTCTTTCTCTTTCTCTTTCTCTTTCTCTTTCTCTTTCTCTTTCTCTTTCTCTTTTTCTCAAACAAATTAGACCATTTGTTAACAAAAGTGTTCTTACATTTCAATTTCCAATTCCTTAATACAACCGCATTTAATCATTGTGATGTAGTCTGGGGTAACCTTTCTAAAGACCTGACTGCGAGGCTATAAAGGTTTCAAAATAGAGCTGGCAGAGTAATCACAAAAGATGTAAGAAAAGATCCGGCTTGGGATRATCTATCACAAAGAAGGGCTAAACATACTAGGGCTTTATGTAATGTTTAATAAAATTTACAACAAATTAGCACCAAAAAGTCTTGCTGAAAAATTTTCTACGGTTGAATCATAGTTAATGGAGCGGAATGGTTGGGAAATCTATTGTTCTTTGCTTTTGTTCGACATTATCCATTGTTATATGAAGTTGACCCTGCACAGAGAAGAAAACGTTTCTCCGTTGGTTCATAGTATTCGAGAATACAGAAGTTTTTAACACTAAAAAACGTTCTAAAGTACTTATTATTTGTTAATCAATGCTATATGATTAATACAAATTGTTTATTGAAAAGGAAATTGCTTTCATGCTTTCTTATTTATCATCTAGTAACTTAACTGTATCTGCGCGGAAATATTTATCCGCATAGTTTGTGGTCGCACCGAATGAAAGTTTTCACTTTCAAGATGTTCATATATGAAAATAATAAGGAAATGAGTATTTTTATCCATACTTGCTTTGGTTCATTGTGCAGGGTCAGTATCACGTGATGGTACGGTGCAACATCAAACGCAAAACGATAGCTTTGTTCTATGGAGTTTCCAA